AGATATTTTGGAAAAGCAGGCACATCCAGAGCATTTTTTACTAACAATCTGGAAGCACATAGATCAACACAATGCTTGTCGACGATAAAATCAAGAAAAAATCACCATTTCTAACTAAATTAAGTGATTTTGCATTCCAGGCGATGGGGGTGGGACCACACTTTGCGTTTTTTACGCGTTTTTGCCTATGTGCAAATTGCACCCAAGCAAGTTCCAGCACCAAAATTTTGCCAGTTGCTTCCCCGGCCAAGTGCCACCCCAGAACCGTTGTACCAACCCTCACGCAAGTCTGAGCCCCGCGTAGGAAAGGGTCAAAGTTTTGGCGGGAAAATTGATAACTTGGGAGCGAGAAAAGATAGAAAGCTGAAATACTGAGGTTATGTTCCCCATCCAAATATAGCTCAATGATTTCAAATTCAGCCCTCAGGTATGCATGGTTCCTGGCGCAAAAATCGCTAGCTTGGGAACCAGGTAAGCCGGGAGGCTGAAATTTTCAACAAATGTTCCCAGCTTAAATACAACATAAATCTATCAAATTCAGCCTCCAGTCGTACGTGGTTTTCACGTATGGCCTCGTGAAATTTTTTGACGGGAAAGTGGCTAACTCTTGAACTAGCAAAGTTGGGAGGCTGAAATTTTCAAGGAATGTTCCCAGCACTAGTACAACATAAACCTATCAAATTCAGCCCCCAGTCGTACGGGTTTCTCACTTATGGCCCCGTGAAACTTTTTTGACGGGAAAATGGCTAAATCGGGAACTAACAAAGTTGGGAAGTTGAAACTTTCAGGGGATGTTCCCAGTCTACGTACGACTTAAACTTATCAAATTCAGTCCCCAGGCATACGCGGTTCACACATGCGGCCGTGATACTTTTTTGGCGCGAAAATGGCTAACTTGGGAACCAGGAAAGCTGGGAGGCTGAAATTATCAAGGAATTTTCCCAGTCTACATACAACATAGAAATTTCAAACCCAGCCCCCAGGTATGCTTCCAGTTCATGTGCGGCCCTACGAAAGTTTTGGCGAGAGAATTACTAACTCGAGAACCAGAAAAGCTGGAAAGCTGAGATTTTAGGCGAGTACTCCCTGTCCATATACAGCTTAAAGGTTTCAAATTCAGCCTCCATGTACGCATGGTTCTCACGTACGGGCACTTAAATTTTTGGCAGGAAAATTACTCATTGAACATCTGGATCATTTTCCAATTAATGCTTTGGTAGTACGAACTTTTAATACTACTTTAAGTAATTTTAAAAGCTTCCCGCCACCTAAATTGCTCCCTCGATCATACCTATGTAGCTTGGTGAGCAAAAATCTGTAATGAAGCAAAGATGCTGCAGCTTCAGTCCATCAGCAAACTGTACAGAAGCAATAATCAGCGAGATGGAATCACTAGCTTACCGTTTCGACGGCAATGATCCTGCCGAATTCGTCGGGACAAATTTATACTTTTATTGGGAATCGGGTACGACACTTATGTCCAGTGGTATTGTCATCGAAGGTGTCGAAGTAATTGACGATGAGCAGTTAGGTCTCATTGAAGTCAAGGTAAATTGGCCATCACCACTTATTTAATTAATGGCGAAATTATTTAAGAATTGCTGCATCCGAGCATTTTATGCACG